CGGCGCGGCCCCCCCCCCCCCCCCGCCCCGGTCCGGGCCCTACCCTCGTCGAGGGAGCAGCAGTCCCCGGGCCGGGGGTCGAACAGGCGCTCGCCGGTCACCATCTCGAAGGCCTGCACGGGAGCCGAGTCACGCGCCGCCCTGCCCCGGCGCCCAGCCTCTGCCCCGCAGCCCCGGCCCGCGCGTGCCCAGCCCAGCCCGGGGAGGGCCGGCTGCAGGGCCCCTGTCTCGCGCACACGAGTGTTGGCTGGCAGGAGGGAGCCTTGCTCCCAAATGCAGCGAGAGACCCTGATGTTTAAGGACAACGGTTCCCGCAGGCGTGGCCGTAGTCCCGCTCCGCACGCGTGGCGCGCTGCAGGCACAGGCACACGCACCCCCGCGGCGCGAGTGCCTACCAGGCAGCCCGTGCTCCAGATGTCTGCGGGAGTGCTGTAATCTAAGCCAAGAAGAACTTCCAGGGCTCGGTACGGCTGAGTCTGGATCTCTTTGCAGACGGGCTTGTACTGGAACAGAAACAAGCTGCTGCGCGTGGGGCCCGCGACGTGGGTGAGCGGTGTCGCCGCAAGGCCCGGGGGGCCGTGGGCTGAACACACCGAGCACCCCCCGGCCGTGCCGGACACGGCAGACTCCCGGGCTGAGCCCGAGCAACCCCTGGAGCAAGCTCTCCTTCACCGCTAGCTGGGGTTTCTAGCTCTAGAAGCTGACTCCCCCCTGCCCTGTGCCCACGCGCCCTTCCCAAACACTGCAGCCTGCCCTGGCCTGGAGAGCCCAGCCCCGAGCCAGCAGTGCTGAGCGCAACCCACGCGTGCCAAGCTCAATCGGTCTCTTTTCAGAGGGTGGTGTCGTGACAGACGGACACCAAAGAGCAGGGTCAGACATGAGAGGGGAGGGCGTGATCCTGTATCACAAGAGTAAGAGTTGAGACAGACTCACTGTCCAGCACGCACTGCCTAGGTCTGCGATTTTCACTCCCAGTTTCATTATATCGCAGGGCTCCAACTGACGCACGAGATCATCCCCTGCACAAAACAGAGGCAGACATCGGCCCCTCTCCAAGCCAGCAGGTGCATCGCTCGTCACAGATCATTCATGTGCGCCTTGGTGCCTTTGATGCTTTTTAGCCCCCCAATCCCTACAGCACCAGAGAGACCGTTCCTCTTTATCCAGCCCTGATTTGTCACTTCCATTTAGTTAGGAGAGGACACGAACAACCCTGCAAGAGGGTTTTTGAAAGAACGTGGAGCGTCACGACCTGAATCGGCTCACACAGCTCGTCCTCTTCTGCCGGGCAGCCTCAGAGGAGAAGAGGGTCCACAGTGCCTGCCTTTACCCTCCGCAAGAGGAAATGTGATCCCTGCTGGGCACAGACCTCAGACAGAACCTGCTCAGCCACATAGTTGTGCGGTGACCAAATACTTTTTGATTTGGTTCTTGGAAAAGACCGCGCGAGACGAGCTCTATCATACAGCGTTCCTGCTGCAGTGATGGAGCCTGCGTCTAGATCAGTGGTTTTCAACCTTTTTTCATTTGCAGCCCCCTAAAATATTGCAAATGGAGGTGCAGACCCAGTAAGTGGGTATTCCCATACTTTTGATTAATCGTAGTCATGTTTTGTGGACCCCTTAGACATAGTCTGCAGACCCCCAGGGGTCCAAAAACCGTAGATTGAAAAGCACTGTTTTAGATGAAGAGGAGGAGGGGAGTGTCCGCTGGCTAGCTGAGACAGCACTGCCATTCTCCTGCAGAGCTGAGCAGTCACAACTATGGGGACTACGGGTAAAGACAGGGTTGCAGTGACAGTGGTGGGTGGTGCTGACGTGCGTATGGAGCAGGGTGTGCGCTCCAGGCCAGAGAGACATCCACAGAGCAGGAATAGCAGGAGAGTGATATTGTCCCCAGCTCCTCATGCTGTTCCCATGAGTTGCAGCATTTTAAGGCCTAATGCTGCTGCTGTCTAGCATGTTGCACCTATTTCCATGCCAGGAGAAATGCAGTCTACAGTCTACATGTTCAAATCTTTGAACATGGATTTTAGATGGACTCTGAGAGAGTGGTTTGGAGAAAGCGACCAAGCAGTCAGTCCTGGTTCACCCACTTTGCCAGGACCAACGGCAAACAGCAGAGCCTTGCTGGGACCTGCATCAGGGAGGACACTGCAGGTCAGCTCCTGGTGCCAGGAGGCACATCTCAACTGTGGCTGTTGCTGAATAAAATTGCAGAGAAAAGGTGGATCACATCTGAGGGCTTATTTCACACGAGTCCTAGGAACTAGCACACAAAAGCAGAAGAAAAAGAAGGAAAAACAACAGCAAGAGAGCATGGGGAGCATTGCTTTTGTCTTGTGAAACCTGTTGGTCCCAGGTGCACAGGTTGTCCTGGGTGCAACAGGACACAGGAAGAGTAAGCCCCGTGAACTGCTTACGTATCACCCACTGCCAGAAGGATGGAGCTGAGAGGACCCTGAGAAGTCAGTGCCACCTCAGTTAGTTGGGACACAGTGAACCTGTCAACCTCAGAAACATGCTGGAGATATAGACCAGAGACAGGACTTAGCTTTTGCGTAACCCTGTCGGGGTGTGGGCCTTTGGACAGTGACAACTGAGCAGTCTGGATTACAAGTAGCATGCGAGTGCTATACAAAGTGGAGCTGCATCGTACTGCAAGGTTGTATTTGCTCTGAAGCTACAGACAAGTGAGGTGCAAGGTTCCTCATTTTGCAGTACTTCCTATACACAAACTGGTTTTTGGCAGCATGCCTGCATATGAGCAGACCTTCACTGGGCTTGCATGGCTGGCAGGGGATTCAGATGGGGTGACTCCTGAAATCTGGAAAGACCTGCCAGCACTGATTCAGATGGGAAGACTCCTGAAATCTGGAAAGACCTGCCAGCACAGACATCAGTGTGCTCCCAACAGCCAATAATCTCCCATAGTGTCTCTCTTGCTTTGCTGCAAAGTCTCTGTGCACCACCCCTGGCGTAGGGTGTGCAGGGAAGTGCTCTCTCCTGGGAGGAATTAGCGGTCCCTGCCCCCCTCTCCCAGCCTACCTGACCTCAGTGGACCCACACCTGGGCTCTGGTTCCAGGCATCTGCATCAAATAGAAAGCTCTGCAGACTCGCCTCGCTCGCGTGCAGCAGGATATTCTCTGGCTTGATGTCTGCATGGATGATACGGCAGTGCTTGTGCAGGAAGTGCAATCCTGCCAGGACCTGGGGGCACAGGAGAGCAGGTCACAGAGTGATGCTGAGGGACACTTGCCGCAGCTTCTGCTCATGTTGAGAGAGTCCAGCACAAAAGACTGTTTTCTGCGTGTTGGGAAAAAAAAACCACGTGCAGGACGAGACCTTGTAGGAAAGTGCTGCTCTATAAGGAATCCTATAAGCCAGCTTGACATAGGCATTCAGGCATCCAAGATCAGGCGCTGACTAGTGGGACCCGTGTGACAGAACCAACAGTTCCACTGTTGGGCGTGGAGGGCATGGGAAAAATCTGAGCAACGTGGACCTGGCGTCCCCAGGAGCAGGAAGCTCTTTGGGTGCAGTGGTGCAAAGAAAAGCAGACCCTGTGGGACCAGGAGCATGGCCTCTGAAAGGAAAGAGCATTGAGTAAAATCACTAGTGGCACTTTAAATGTTATGAGAAGGGTGGAGATACGTCCCATGGCCAAGGTGGAGCTATGCTCCATGCTGTGCATTTTGCCCTTGGTGCTGCTCCCGACTGGTCCTGAGGCCAGCTTGTCGACAGGCTGTCGGTGCTGAGGGGCCAGAGAGAATTTTCCATGATGGCGTCAGGGCAGCAGAAGCCAGGAGAGGTTCCTGTTCTGTCAGTGGAAAGTATGGATGTGGCAGGCAGCTTGTCCCACGTGTCCCTGCGTTGCACGAGGCGCCTGATGAGCCAACAGTCCGGAAGAGACTGCGCTGCACCAGGTTTCCAGGCAGGCGATCCTGCAGCATGACATCTCAGCAGTGTTTGTGGCGAGCTGCCTGGGCACGGGTCAGCAAAAGCCCTCCCTGGACCAGCTGACGGGGCCCTTTTAAAATTCCAGTGAGATTAAGGGCTCAGCGCGGTTGCCCCAAGTTCCCAAGCGTTAGCACAACACTGATGAATCCCAGCCCACGTGCAGTTCAACAGAAGGGGGTTGCAACACCTGGCCCATTTAAAGTCTACCTTTACTTCCTCTTCCCTTTGGCTATCTTAACAAACTCATCTACCTGTCCTGGCCTGGCAGCGTCATGGGTATTCGTTAGCTTTTCTTAGTGAAGAATTCTGCGAGGTCGGGCAAACAGACCAGGCATCGCCTGCCTCTGAGGAGCAGCATGCCCCGGCTGCAAGGCAGAGCGGCCGTGCAGCGCAGAGCAAGCGGGCAGCTGAGAACACAAGGTAAAGCAGCTGTCAGCGGGGAAGGGCTCTGCTGCCCAGCCTGTTGATGAGCTAATGAGACGCGTCAGGCTGACACAACAACCGGAGCGAGGGGCTTATTGGCGCAGTCGGAGTGCCAATGGTCTGGCTGCCCCGGGAACGGAGGTCCCCACTTGGCTTTTGCTGTGTTCGTTCTTTCTTGGGCTTTTTCCTTTTCGTCGTTTCCTTCCATCCGGAGAGAACAGGCCAGTGCTTTCCTTCCAGCGCTGGACCTCTTCTCCGTGCACTCCGCTCCACGGGAACTCACCGTGGAGGGAGCCGCGCTGCATGCGGGCAGGTGTTTCAATGCTTTGCATGGGAAGCCCAGGAAGTTCAGGCAAGAGGCCAGTGCATGGCTCAGCAGGGAGACTCGCTTGATCGCGCAGGAACTGCACTGACATTCGAGGCAAAACCACACTGGAATAACCAACCCTTAGCATCCTACTAGGCTCCTGGATTGCCCACCCTGCCCTGCTGCCCCTCAGCCCCGCAGCTGCAGCCTCACCCTCCAGCGTTTTGGGCTCACCTGCAGCAAGGCTTTCTTCACAAAAGGCAAGGGGAGGCCCTGGGCACCGTGGATCCTCATCAGGCATCGCAGAGAGGGACCCAGCAACTCAAAGACCGAGCACACATGTAAGACAGAGTCAGGGATGCACAGACAGAAAGCACCAGATGCTCCCCTTGGCCTTCGCTAGGACAGCCAGGCTGTCCCCTCGCTCCAGCCCCCTTGCTGCCCTACAGCCAGCACGTTCTTCCAGCGCCGGCTGCCACCTCAAGCCCGCCCGTCCCACGAGGCTGACACCGAGGCCTCCATGCTGCCATCACACGCTCCCTCTCTGACGCGGCCTGCGGCCCACCCCTTACAGCCACGGTAGTCAGAGGTGAAGGATATGGAAGCCATTCACTCCAATCATTTTGAAGTCATCTAATAAATGGACAATGTTCTCTCCTGCCCGGTCCTTTTTCTTCATGCTGTTGACCTGGGAGACAATTCAGAGGAGCTCATATCATGAAACGTGTGGGCTGGGACACTCTCCCCATCCTGCTGCCCACCACGATATCTGAGCAGCAGCAGCAGCAAGGTGCCAGCTGGACTCTGGGGCCCCGGAGTGGCTGCTCTTCCTGCAGTAAGAGCTCTGCGTGGGGGCGTTTCTCGCTCCTTGGCATGCTTCCTTGCACTTCCTGTTGGTGACATGCAGCAGGGAAGAAACCAGAGTCCAGTCACGTGGGCTAATCTGCCCCGGGTGAATCTCCTCCGGGTTACGCAGCATGGACTGGGCAGGCTAGTTCTGCACACTTCGTTTTGCTGCGTCTGCGTAGCTCAGCGCGTGCCTCCCTCCAGGCGCTCGCCACTGCCAGCAGCCCACGGCTGGCCCTGCCAAGGGCAGCTCTCGCGGTTACTGAAGGGCTGCCCTGCTGCACGCTGCAGCGCGTCAGGCCAACCAGACCGGCCCCGTGGGTAACTCAGGCACCCACATCTGTTTCCCCCCGGTCAGGCTGGGAACGCCTTGGGGCAGGGCCTGTCCCTCTGCTCTTTGTCCGAACAGTGTCTCCTACGGGGCCGTGGATGCAGAGCTGCTGTCTCCGTGCCATAAATAATCATAACATCCCCCTGAAAGCCAGCCGGCTAGAAACGTGTGGCCTCTGATTTGGTATACAGCCCTGTTGGTCCAGTGGGAGAATATCTCCCCGACACGTTTCCTTTTGGACTGTGCGAGTTTGCCACCGCAGAGCGCTCGGCCAGCACGGGGAGGCACGGTTGGCTAAATACTGCTAAATAGCATCTGAACTATTAGTAAAGTATGCAGCCAGGTCTAAGTGCACCGTTTTCCTGATAACTGCTGGGATAATTTCTCTACTCTTTAAATCAAACTACTACAACTTCATGGCCTTTCTTGCACTGCTTGAACCCTGACTTAAATCAGCTTAGTTTGGGTTGGTAAATTCCTAAACTAAACCAGCCCCATTTTGAACCTAAGGTAAGCAACCCCGCACAGGAGTCACACGTGCTCGTTTAACTCAGCTGATTAGGATTAAGCCAGTCCAGCATCATTGTTTAGCCAGACCCTAAGAAGTAGAGAATTACGGGCTTGAAAGGTCAAGCTATCTCCAGGGGTCCTAGCGGAGACACAAACAGGTGCCCCTACCTTAGGAGGCAGCCGTGGGCAGCGGCAGAAAGCGGCTCAGGCTCTCTTAGGGGCCAGTTTTACTCTTTGCTGCCTTGTCCTGGCTTTTGCGGGTCTCTGCGGTGTGCGGGACCCAGCCTGCCGGCTGCTGCACAAGCCTTTTGTGCTGAGGTCCTTGCTTTCATGCCCTCGTTTTCCTGCTGCTCACCAGCCCTGTCTTTCTGCTGCCACCCCAGGATTTTTTCACCGGCTTCCCAGCGTGACGGGAGGGAGGAGGGATTCCTCCTGCAGCAGGAAGCTGGGGGAGCAATCGGAAGCAAGCAGAGGATCCTGAACGCAGTGGGCCCAAAGCCCTGGGGCTGCTCCGGGAGCAAGCGCTGTGCGGAGGCCCGGGTCTGCAGAGTTCAGTGTGATCTCCCTGCAGCCAGCCTGGCTCCCTCCAGGCCGCGAGCAGCAGCTCAGGACAGGGCAGGTCCTATAGGGGCTGTGATGCCGGAGCGCTGGGACGCAAGGAGCCAGCGTGCTCCCTGGGCCGTGCACGTACACATCGGAGAAGAGAGATCTCGTCCTGGGCTGCATCAGCAAAGGCCTCACCGCCCTTGGCCACCTTCACAGCAACATGACGCTTCTCCCTGGGAAGGAAGCATAGCCATGGCCAGCTCTTGCAAGGACAGCCCAGCCGCGCCGCCCGCTCCCTCACCTCTGGCATTGCTGTCCAAGCAGCTGCAGGGCCCTGTGCGCTCCCTGGCTCGGGCCAGCCTGGCCTGGGCTGGGCACCGCTGGGGCAGGACACGCAGCAACACGCCAGGAGGAGCCTGCAGCCACAGGCACAGCCCAGCCCTGCCAGGAGCCAAGCTCCCGCACGGCCCTGCAGCCCCTTTGTCCCTCTGCCCGGGACCCCTGTCTGCGCCCTCAGAGGAGTGACTCCAGCCCCGGGAGCAAGCAGGGATCTTTGTAAGCAGAAGGTAAAAGTGGCCCTCATTGCTACCAGCAGATTTAACACGCTCACAGCACAGCCCTGGCTGCTAGGTCCGCGCGGCCCCTGCCACGCCGGTCTGCCGGGGGGGGTGCTCCCTGCTGCCGCCCGCTCTTGCCGGCGATGGTCCCCTGTGCCCTTCCCCCTGCCCAGTCCCTCCCGTCGTCGGCGCCTCTGTCTGGTCACTCACGCCCGGTCCTGGCACAGCCAGACGGTGGCGAAGTACCCGGAGCCCAGGCGCTGCAGCACCTGGTAGCGCCCGTGGAGCACGTCTCCCTGCTGTGCGGGGTGGTGGCCTCCTGCAACAACAGGGCACCGTTAGCACGCCAGGCTCCGGCGCCGCCGAGCCGGGGAGGGCAGGCTGACCCCAGGGGCTGCCCATTGCCCGGCGCAGCTCGGCTGCCTCCACCAGGCCTGGGCACCAAGGCCTCCAACGCGCCGCCCTTCCCCTGCTCACCTTCGTCCTCGGCAGCCTGCTCCATGCCTTGCAGCTTGCTGCAGACCTCCAGGCTGGCTGCGGCGCAAGCTCCTGCCAAGAGACGCGTACGTGCCACCTGGCTCGCCCTGGGCAGGCCCCCGCACACTTCCCCGCTGCCCGCGGCCGCCCCCCCGTGCCCCAGAGCGGCGCAGGAGCATTTCTGGAATTTCCTGAGGGCTGAGAGATTATTTTGAGTGCTCGGAGGAGGGAGGCAGAGCCGAGCTCCTGGCTGCACACAGCTGGCCGGAGCTCAGGTTTCCTGCTGCCTCTCTCGGACTGTCAGCGGGATTAGAGGGGATCAGGGAGAGGCCGGGCATCCCCTCGCTGGGCAGCAGTGCCCCGGCCTCGTGCCGAGAGCGCTCCCAGCTCCGGCGGGCAGGGCAGAGGGAGGGGCAGGTTGCTGACCGGGCACCGTGAAGACCTGCCGCAGCCTCTCCCGGGCTCTTTCAGCATGAACTAGTTGCTGGGCTGCAAAACCTCCAGCCCGGCAGCCCGCCGCAGCCTCGACCAGGCCCCGGCCCCTAGGACAGGCTGTGACCAGGGTCGAGGCTGCTGCCCAGTGCCCGATACCACGGCCAGACGCGCGACACAAGCACGGGTGTGGGAATAGACTCGGCCCCACAGCGTTACGGCGGCTGCGGCAGGGCCGGTGCAGCGCCCTGCGCCAACCTCTGCCTCCGCGCCGGCCTGGCGGGCATCGGGCACCTTCTGCGCACACCTAAGTCCACGCTTTGCACTAAACCGGCGCTGCCTTGCCTAGGGCTGCCCGCCTGGCCTCAGACCGCCTTGCCCAGCTCCTGGGCCTCCCCTGGGGCAGCTTCCCCCATTGCTGCGAGAGCCCAGAGCCGGCTCTGCCGCTGCCCGCTCTAGCAAACCGCCCCGCACGCTGCCGGCAAGGCCCGAGCAGGGGCGGGTGAACGCTGCTGGATCGCAAAGCCCTCCTCTGCTTCCCTTTGCCGGCTGCTGCCCCCGCTCCCCATGCTTCGGCCCCTAGGAACGGCTCCCAGAACAATGGCCGGGAACGCAGGCTGCATCGATCGCCTCGTCCCTCACTGCAGCAGCGAAGGGGACCGTGGGGGGAGCATTGTCTGGCAAAAAGAGCCAGTGGCTGGAGATGGAAACCAGCCAGGCTCAAACTAGAAATAAGGAGCAAAGGTTAACATGGGGAGCCCCCCACCCCCACTAGCCGGGAAGCACGCCCTGTGCAGCTGTCCAGGCGGCAGGCTCCTTTCTTGGGCACGCAGGGAGGTGCTCGTGCAAGGGCCGTCACGAAAGGAGAAGGAAGAAGTGTCCCCAAAGCGCTGCAGGGCGATGAACGCAGCGTTCAAATTGAGACCGACCGGGCAGGTTGAAAACGCATCCTTGCCCAGCTCGCGTCCAGCTGCGGACGGAGTCGGCTTGTGCTGCACAGAACGGTCCCTTCTGCCCCAGCGAAGGGGGAGCGCTGCGGGCGATGCCCACCCGACCCATGGCAGTGCCCGGGTGGGCAGGGGGACAGCCTGTCCCAGCCCCCCGCCACAAGACAGCACCCTGGTGAGGGGAGCCCTGTTCTCTGGCTGTGGAGAAGCGAGTGGCTGGCCTTGCGGGAGCCATCTGTGCGGCTGTCGTGTCCGACGGGTGTGCGCTGGGCACAGCCCTCCGTGTGCAGCCCTTGGCGCGTGCAGCAGAAGCCAGCCCAGCAGTGCAGCTGGCGCCCAGCCTTTCACTCACCTGCAGCAGCTCCACGCAGGACCAGCGCCGTCAGGGGCTCCGGACTGCGCGATACCCACCGCTCCGCCGTGCCCTGTCGCAGCAGTGCCGGGGCGGGGAGGGTGCTGTGGCGTGGCGCAAGCTCTGCTGCAGCCACGGGGACGAGCCGTGAGAGCAGGTCGCGGCAGGCTCTGGCAGCAGCACAGGCTCCAGCATAGCCAGGAGCAGGGGGACAGCTGCGCCGGGGCCTTTTTATGGCAGCCAGAAGTCTGCACCTGTTAGAACAGCTTTGCTCCGCTCCCGGCCCCCCCGGCCCCGCCAGAGACACAGGCCTCTGCAGAGGCTATTTATAGAGCAGGATTTACAGCTCTGCCGAGATGGAAACACGAAATCTTTCCTTCACGCTCCAGAGGCGCAAAGCGCCAGGCACAGCTGACGGGCAGCGCCCCCGTCCCCGCCTGCGGGGCAGCCCAGCACAGCCCGGGCCTGGGTGCCCGCGCGCCCAGGCTCTGCAGCAGGCCGTGTCTGCCCGGGCGCGATGGGAAGGAGCCGTTGCCTCTAGGCCCATTGGGGCCACTGCTCCTGATCACAGCCTGGAGCCATGCTCCCCGCGTGCATGATGGATGTGCATGTGCACACATGCGTGTGTTCCCAGAGGAGCCGGCACTGCAACCAGCCTGCCCCGCAGCCCAGCGGTCTCCAGGGCGAGGCTGGCGTGGCAGATGCCCGCGGAGCCTGGAGCCTTGTGATTCTAGGCTCGGCCCCACAACCCACGTCCTCCACGAGGGCTGCACCGCCCCAGCCCCACACCTTGGCCTGGTGTCGGCCCCTCCGGCTGAGCGCAGCGGAGCAGCACACGGGCTGTGGGCAGGGCTGGCACGAGGCTGCGGGCCTCTCTGCCCACAGCAGCCGGGCCGCGCTCCCAGCCCAGCCCAGCCCTGGGAGCAGCGTGTGTGCAAAGGGGAGGCTGGGGAAGGCCAGCACAGCTCCTGCCCAGCCCGCTCCGGCTGCCTGCTGCCCCTGCCCGGGCTCTCGCCAGGGGAGAGGTTCTCCTCGTGTAAAGTTAGAGCTTCTCCGAGCTTCGGTCCTGGCCGGCGGGGCACAGGGAGCGCCTGCTGCTCCTGGCCCTCGCGCTCGCCCTCCTCCAGCGCCCGGGAGCGTGTCCCGGCCACGCTGGGCCACGTGGCCCCGGGCACCGCCCCACACTGGCACAGCCCGGGTCCCACCCCGACGGGAGCCGGCCCAGGCCTCATGGCCATTGCCAAGCGTCCACGTGCCGCACAGAGAGCGCTGGGACTGGCGGGGTGATTGCACCCGAGACTGGCCTGTGCTCGGACCCTCGCGCCCCTCCACCCTGCGCCCGCCTGGCCCACGCAGGGGCGCAGCAGAGCAGGAGGGGCACGAGGGCCACAGGCCTCTTCCCGTGAGCAGCCCCAGTGCTGCTGCCACCGTGCCTGCGCTTTCCGCGGGGAAGGGCTCTGGCAGAGGGAGGAGGTGCGCCGCTCCCGAGGCCCAGGGGCTCTGGAGCTCAGCTCTTTGATTTCACCTCCCGGGTGCCTGGCCGTGCCCGAGGGCAGCCTTGCTCCGAGACCCCCACAGCTGCCGTGGCTTTCGCCCTGCGATGCAGCACGTGCCTCTGCCACCAACTGCAGGCGGGCCCGACTGCAGCGGGGGCTCCACGCGGCAGCAGCCACGCCAGGCCGCTCCTCTGCCCTCGCCGCAGCCCTGGAGGACAGCACGCCCGTCCCTCGCCCCTTTCTCCAAACCAAGCGGGCATCAGCGCTGAGCCGAGGTCAGCAGCGCTCCCTCCTCAGGGCCTGGCTCCGGCAGCCGCGTGAGACGGGAGCGAACTCCCCTCTGCGCCGCCGGAGCCGTGCACAACGCCCCGCAGAACCAGAGCGGCTCCTGCCGGGACGAGCCTGGGAGACCGGCGGCACGGCCTGACCCGCGTGTCTGAAGCCGAGCGGGTTTGGGTGCAGACCTGCCCGCTCCCGGGCGCTGCGAAGGGCACCGTGCCGGGGCGAGCCGCCCTGTGTCGTGGCACAGACCTGCAACACCCGCTCTGCGTTGTATATTAACATTTATTGAATTACTCAGGTAAGAAGTCTCTCTTTATTAAAATCATTTGGGTCTAAACTGCTTATTTACAGACATAACCTCTCATCTCACCAATAGATTCCTACATCTCACAATCGTATCTACAAACAGTTATTACACTATGTAACAAAATTCAGATTTTTCAAGCTTTTTATATTAATAATTAATTCCAATTTGAGAAAGATGGCACAAAGGGGCTCAGACAGGACTTCAACGAGAAGGAACAGGGCATGGACACGGGGCCAGCCAGATGGCAGCGAACTGGGGAATAGAGAAGGGCAGCGTGGAGACAGGAGGTGAATGTACGTTCCCCCAAGGGGCAGACATATCAGCGCAAACGCACCTGGTGTCCTGGAAACCAAAGGACTCAGCCCAGGGAGAAAGGCACCAAAAGCAGAATCACAGTGCAGGCTGGGACCGGAGCGTGCCGGCACGTGCTACGCCCTGGCTGTATCCCCCGCCCCTCCCTCCCTCCCCCCCATTTCTGCAAAATGTAAGCATTTGTTTAAAAAGCTTCTAGCCCTTATTGTTGTAAAGAAAACCGTGCGAGTGCAAGTGAAAGCTGAGCTGCCAGCGGGACTCCGCAGCCAGAGGCGGGAGCTCAGTCCCAGCTCGTCAGGCTCCGCCACCACGGGACGTTGCTGCTGCAGCCTGGCAATGCTACTTTGGATCCCACTGCCCCGGTCTCGAAGCAAACTTCTCTCTGCCTCCCTGAGGCAAGTCGCATCGGACCTGTGACAGCGGGTCAAGGCTCTGCCCACAAGTTGCGTTTTGTGGTGACAGAATAATGAAGGGTGCGACCTCCCTCCGTCCTGCCGAGCCAGAGGGCACATTGCAGCGCACACACCTGACCCAGCTCCCAGTCGTGGTCGGGGTCCCGGGTTGGGTAGGTGACCCTACCCAACCTGCAGAAATGGAAGTCCCTGGCTTATGACACGCCAGCCCGTGGAGACGGGAATGGCAGGAGGAACCATGTGGGGCTGCTGGAGCAAACCTGCTATGTGCTCTTCCCCATCACACAGAAATGCTTATCAAAAGACTGACTTTTAAGCTCAAAACCTCACTCTGCAGCGGCACCACGTGAATGACACGGACTGAGAGCCCCAGGGGGCACATCTGAACATACGAGCTGACCCTCGCGGAAGGACTGAAAAGGGGGCTGAGGCTGCGAGGGCCTTGGGCAGCCCAACAGGAGAGGCTGAGCAGAACGGTCGCGGCGGAGAGGTGCTACAGACCCAACCACGCTGCCCATCCTGTTTTGCTGGTGAGAAGTCTCCAGCTGGAGAGGTCCGTAAACCATCCCTCTTCTTTTAGCTCAGTTTTCTCACTTTCTAACCAATCTGTATTTTCTGTTATTGCTGTTTTCACACGAGTCTCCCTGGAGAAAAGAGCTCTGTGACCTCTCCATAAGCGGAGCGGAGTGGAGTGGAGCGGAGCAGAGGAAAGAGGCACTGGAACCTGCCACACCTCCCAGCTTGGTTAAGGTGCAAGAAGAGTGTCACGCTCCAGCAACTGCTGCCCTCAGGCTGCAGGGAAAAGCTGAAGGACCGAGCAGAAGCGCTGGTCAGACAAGTGCTTGGCTCCAGGCGGCTGGATGAACGCGGCAATCCTCTTCTCTCGCTAGCTGTACCCAGGACTGAGGGCACTGCAGGGGCTCAGACAGAAGATTCCCAAGCCTGCTGGGGCTGCAGCTGCCCTGCCCAGCCCTGCAAGCCCCAGGAAGGGGCCATCAGTGAGATGGAAAGGTCACAAAGCTGGAGGCCAGAAGGGGTTTGAGTCTGATGTGCCTGGAAAAGCTGGACCCTCTCCCCAGCTCTGCCCACAGGGCACTGCTCCCGCTCTGACAGCAGGTCTGGATGGCAGAAGAGCCTGGCCCAGAGGGACACTCACCCAAGTGAAGGACAGTTGCACAGAGCAGCACCCCCTCGGCGCTTACGTGCTCTGTCCTTCCAGGGCGTTCATGGTCCAGCTCAGAGCAGCAGCCTCAGCAGGGCCCAGCTGGAGGGGCATAGCCACAAGGCATTCTTGGGCAGGAGAGACCCAGAGGGACAGACTCATAGCTGGATCACAGGGCAGTGCGTCAGAGCCATCTGGTCCCTTTGCCAGGTTGCGCTAACTTCAGTCCAAGGGAACAGGCAGTAGAGTAGGGTCTGCTCACACCCAGGACTGGGCACAACCCTCAGGGCTGGTCATCCTGTGATGAGCATGTCACGCCCACTAGCACTGCCCACTGCTCGTGAGCAGGGAGGGAGACCAGAACCTGAGTGCAAGAGACTATCACCCCTTCCCTCCAACCTGTCCCTTCTCCCTACACCCAGCTCTCCTGGGCATCTCCCCAGTGTGTGGGGTGACACCACCAGGGAAGGTTCCCTGAGCCATAGCGGGAGAAGTGCCCACCTCTCCATAAGGTCAGGCCAGGCTGCACTGGGCTTCCCAAGATCCCGGCAGGTTCCTGAGAGGCCTTGGGAAGCTCATGTGGCAACTGGTCCAGCACCAGCTGGGGCCTCGCATAGTGGCTGTGTGACCTGTGGTGGGTATGTGGCATCCAGGTGAGAGGCCAGACTACGGGGATGTCCATGGCACCAGCGTGAGGTCAGGGGCTCCTAGGAGGCCAGAGAGGGCGGACACATGGCCTGGTCCTGGAGCTCCTGTGTTGTCTGGCTCGGTGACACATTCACAGTGTCTGAAGGACACCGCTGGGCCCTGGTGCTCTGGTCTGGAGAGTCTGCAGCAGCAGCGCTCGTTTTAGAAAGGAAAAAATCCATAAAAAATGATCCTCTGAGACACAAGTATGCTTGGACTCCATGTTAGATTGGCCACCCCCTCTCGGGTCACACGCCTGCGCCGCAGGGATGCTGGGGCCAGGCAGCGAGCGGGACCTCCTGTCTGGCTGTAAAACGCCCGTGAGCAGCGCAGTCCATCTCTTCCCCAGCCAAGAGCCTCGCAGCCAATCTGCTGGGGTCACAAGTCAGTGACTTTGTTCTCCACGGCAGCAGCAATCTGCTGCAGTCGGTAGCCAAGCTGCATCTTCTGGGCGGTCGGGTCTTCCTCCAAGGCAGTGATGATCTGGAATGAGACTCAGAGCTCACTGGGAGCCTCCCTCCGGCTACCAGCCGATACAAGCTCAACTTGGTTATAGCACTTGGCCTTGGGACACACGGAGTAAGCTATCCTAGTGGACCCCTACGATAGCCCCGAGGCACCTCCTCCCCGCAGTTCCTACCCAGGGATGCTACATCCAATCCTGGGGCTAAATGCTGGAGGCTGCAAGTAGGAGAGGGACAGTGGGAAAAGCCCTGGTCAGACCCTGTTCATTGCCTTTCAGCATCTGCT